ACTGCTACTGCTACTGCTACTGCTACTGCTGCTACTACTACTACTACTACTACTCCTACTACTACTGCTCCTCCTACTACTACTACTACTGCTACTACTACTACTACTACTACTACTAATGCTGCCAGAACTGCTGCTTCTACCACTGTTCTACGAATCTTGTTTGTATTGGTGCCACGAATTCCACTGCTGCTGCTGCTGCTGCTTCGACAACAATAACAACTACTACCACTACTATTGTACCGCCACTGCTACTTCGATTGCTGCTGCGACCACCACTAGTGCTATTGTTGGTGGTCCAAGTACTACTATTATTAGCATTATTCATGACAGAGAGACAGAGAGAGACAGAGAGAGTCAGAGAGAGAGAGGGATTTGCCAATGTCACAAGTCGACAAGCCGACCTTCTTCAACCGAGGAAAGCATAACAAGAAGTTCTCCAAGATGAACTGCGAAGGTGCCATGGGACTGATTGTGAGAGCACCGAGGATCGCTGTTCCAAACCATGTACTTGTCTCCAACCGCAGCACCGAAGGCTGTGAGACACCAGCTTCCGTCCTATTTGCGAAAGCAAGGGTTCTGAGCACCCCAGCAGGGCAGCAAGAACTGGTCCGAGTTAGAATATGTTCAAAGAGGTCGCAAGGTCTTTCTCCTAGCTTACCGAGAGGCCTGGGCGGTTATAAGCATTGAGCAAGAAAAGAGAGTCTTGCTGCAATTTGCAGCGCAACACTGCCACCAATGTGCATTTCCGACAGCCAGCATGAGCTTGACGTGGGTCCAATGCTGACATCCTCCACATAAGAAAGTCAACTCACAATCGCTTTTTGGTAGGAGTGTGTTGAGCAGCCGGAAGCTGCAAGGCTACTTGACTGTGGAAGCATCCTGGATCTTTCCCTCCGAGAAGGCCCCTCCACTTCAGGTGGCCGTGATGCAATTTTGCATGACACTTCAGGTTTCAGACAGGGTATTTGGAGGGTCCTTGTCCTGGTCTCCCGACACAGGATACCTTGGGGGTAGCAGAGCTCAAGCAGCAACAACAACAACCAGCAGGAGCAGCAGGAGCAGCAGCAGGAGCAGGAGGAGCAGCAGCAGCAGGAGGAGGCGCAGGCAGAGGAGGAGGAGAAGGAGGAGGAGGAGCAGCAGGAGCAAGAGCAGGAGCAGGAGCGGAAGCGGGAGCGGAGCGGGAGTAAAGGCACAGGCAACGACAACGACAACTTCAACAACTCCCGTGGCGACAGCATCAATTCTATCAGACTCTATCAGCACTCGGCCACAAACGACAACATCAACACCGAAGATGATGGCAACCTTTACTCAGATAAGGAATACAAATATGGGTCTCGAGAACAGTAGCAACAAGACGAGAGCAACCAGAAGCATACGGAAACCAGTTGCGGCAATCGCAAAAGCTGCAATGTGACACAGTACTTTCATCTACTTTCGAACATGATGACATGATGAGGAGCGACGAAGCAGTCATGATAAGATGAAACGTGGAACATCAATGGAACAGCAACGGTCAAGGAAGGGGCGACCATGGAGCAGCGCGTCAAGCGCGAGGAGATGCTCCACACAGGCCCGGGGTAGGAAGGTCTTAAGCAACATGCGCATACTCTGCGGATTGCACGTCATGCTAAGCAACCCCAAGCCCACAAAAAACGACCAACCCAGTCGTGGTGCTTCAAGCTTTTCGACAGATGTTGGATCTCATGAGTAGCAGACTGTCTGAGACCGGAGCTATTTCAAGATAGTTCCAGAATCATGTGGTGCCAGTTTGGCGAATCACCGTTTTATGCTGATCCATGTTTTTTTTGGTTACGGGCATGATATCGTTTTTTTCTTTTTTGCGTGGGCAGCCTGGCTTGGATGAACGCTCTGTCGGGCAAGTGGTTCTTGTTGTCTGATCCATGTGTCGAGTGTGGCATGGGATGGACTATTTGTAGTGAGGATGTGCTACCTGGACATGTCGTGAAGCTATGCCTTCTCGCACAATCTGTGAGAGTCGAAGCAGTGACAAGACGAACCCTGACAGGAAAGCTGAAGCTCAAGATTGTCAAGGCCGAGGGGCTCCGTGGTGCCGACCGGAGCTACCGAAGGGCAGGGGGCTGAGCTGCTTCCGGGACTATTGGGTTGTGAGGGCTGGGGTTCAGGGTTCATTACGCTCAAGGGGTTCGGGGTCCAAGGTTCTGGATACACAGAAACAATTACGAAATACATCAAGATAAGCATAAACTTGGGCGTAGATACTGATATGTATATTAACATAGCATGAGCATGGATTTAACTATACTACATACATACATGCACACATGCACGTGCCTCTCCCTTCTCTCTCTGTATAGCATATGCATGCATGTATGTATGTATGTATGTATGTATGCATGCATGTTTGATTCCAATATTTTTCAGAAAATATCAACACACGCACACACAACCTCATGTGTATATATATATAGGCACGTACACATGCATGCATGCATACATGAATGCATACCTGATTGCATGCATGAGTGCATGCATGAGTGCATGCATGAATGCATACATGAATGCATACAGACATGCGTACATAGATAGATGCATACAGACATATGTACATGTGTGCATGCGTACATACGTACATGCATGCATACATGCAGACCTGCATACATGCAGACATGCATACATGCATATATGCATGCCTGCATGCCTGCCTGCATGCATGCTTACGTACGTACGTACATACACACACACATGGAGTGGATTGCCATACCGGGCTACAATAGCAGGTCATTTGCACGGACTGTTTTGACATCTTCCTACCTACAGGCATCTACTTGTCGACCAACCCGCCGGGACCCGTCTAGAATGTAGATCGGTGACAGTTTCTTTTTTTGTTGTTGTTGCCTGCAGTGCCTGTCTCCTGTTGTCCGTGCATGTGTCGCACTACCTTCTAGGATTCAAGGGCGGAAGAGACACTGGAGACAAGGAGACACTGGGTCGCCGGGATGCAACTCCGGGACACGGGAGACTGTGACCGGAGCACTGGACAACGACATCGAGACACTTCGACATGGGACGGGAGGGACACCACAGGAACAGGAACACGGCCCAGTAGGAGTTGCGGCCCATGAACCGAGACCGCCTTCAAGCGGGCCTTCGGGGTTCGTTGCAGGATTGGCTTTTACACGGAACTTTGGATTGGAATTTGCATGCTAAGGAGGGCAGCGACCCCTATGTCTGCATGTATGTCAAGAACGAAGCTATCGGCGCATCTGACAAGGCTTGGGCGGCCTGGGGGCTTCCTGCATTTTAGTTAAGGCTTTGAAGCATCAGTCGTGATGGTGGTGCCATGCTGCCACTGCAGGATTCCTGCCGTGAGCTCTGCGGTTTCGAGTGATGCGAGGTTTGACCGAGTGGCATGGAACCCATGCAGACTTTCGAGACTTGGGGCGCTCTGCTCTCGTTGCACTCGGTGTTGTGCTGTCGTTGAAGCTTTCTCCCCCAGCTCCACCACCAGTATGCCTTGTGTCAGAGCTTTGCTTCGAAGTCTGTTCCCACGACTGCTAATCTGCAGTTGAGATGTACATGACCGTGCTAGTTGCGAGATGATTCGCTTGGAAACATATGTGAGGCCAGCATTCCACCTGGCTTCGACGAGGAGGGCTGGCACGTGACCGCCCTCCGTCGACATGAGTGCTATTGGACAACGAACACGAAGAAGGCCACCCGCAACCCCGAGTGGAACGAGGAGAAGGACTTCACCCTCAGGACGCGGTCGTAGAGCTCGTAGGTTGCCAGAAGGGAAGGCAGGTTCTAGGCCGCAGCTGGTTTAGAGCTGCAGGTGTTGGCAGATGGCAATACTGCAGGGCCGTGACTCGTGCTAGTACTAGTGCTTGAGATCTTGCCAGACATCGCCATGACGTGGCTGTGTTGCGGTCACTGCTACTGTTTCGCATGCACGCTCGCAATGCTTTCTCGAACAGTCGGATGCGCTCTACACCCTGACCAGAGCCTCAAGCTGCTTTAGGCAATATGTCGGCTTTTCCGTGCTTGCTGGTGCTGGGGGTTTTGTCTGTAGATTTCCAAAGCGCTCTTGCATCTCTTCCTCTTCCCCTTCCCTTGACCTCCCCTCCCCTCTCCCTCCCGTCCCCTTCCCTCCCTCCCCTCCCCTGTCTCCTCCCCTCTTCCCTCCCTCCCCTCCCTCTCCCCTCCCTCTCCCCTCCCTCTCCCCTCCCTCTCCCCTCCCTCTCCCCTCCCCTCCCCTGGGTGGAGCCGGAAACGCTCGCACCGTTGACCGTGTGAATCCTGCTTTTGGCGGGGAGTCGATGGGGTTGCAAGGATCTGCCGTACATGGTGTAACTTCGGGTGTTTGTGGTTGGGCCCTCGGCCTTCTTACGTTCTTGGAGCAGGACAGGAGGCTTCGAGAGGCGCACGAAGCAGGCCTTCCACTTGGACATCACTTCGGGCCAGGCCGGGTGGAGATTGTCAAGTCGAAAATCTGGGCATGATTAGCATTTCACGGTTTCCTAAATCACAACAGAATTGTTATGTCGTGAATATTCTTACTCTAATAGTAATTATTATTGATAGTCCGTAGACTACTGGTGTAGGTGTACTCTTATACGCATTGCCATCGCAAGCTGCACCGATGATATTGCGTGTTTTCTGCAAGAGCATGATTTTCATCATGAGCGCATTCGCACTGCTGCTGTTTGGCAAGTACTGCCATTCTTCTATCCAGTCCTCGTTTGCGATGGGACAGCCATCGTGCTAGCAGCTGAAGCGACAGATTCTGTTAAGTCCGAAGGCCCCAAGACCTTCCAGCTCTCGTGGTCATGTCGAAAATAGTGATCTTAGAAACACGACTCGTGGCAGGGATAGATATATATATATATAGATAGGGTGCTCAAGATAGTGATTCAGCAAGTTGCAACATAAGTATGCCTCTATGACTTTCCACTGGTGCGGCGTCAACAGCTGCAAGCTTCGTCTTCATCGGAAACTCGAATCAAGCGCCAGAAGACTGGCGAATTGATTCCGGGAAGGGTTCAACTTCACTTTTATCCGTGCCAGGGATACTGCTTCAAACTTGTTGTAGCAGAATCGAGCCCCCTTTGCACTTGAAAGGCGCGGCGTCATCAGGACGACTACTACACCGCGGAGCCTCCTTCAGCACTCAGCAACCTTGATAGTAAGGCTGCGTATGTCTATGTTGATATTCGCGCAAGCGGCAAGAACGAATTCACCACGTGTGATGTCTTGTTCGTATCGTCACATGCTATGTTTAGATTTGGCCTTCGTCTTGAAGCGTGCCCGGAATCCCTGACATTCCTCGGACTGTACATAGCAAGAGCACTGTGACGACTAAAGGATGCTTGTGCATGTTTCTCGAATACGGGTCTTATCATGCAGTGGGCATGCGGAAACCGCAGCTGTTGTGCTGTTGTGATAGTCGTTGAAGACCTCATCTTGAGCAACTCTGCGCACATGGTGGTCAAAGTCTGTCAAAGCCATAGTCATGGCCATGGTAGTCGCAACGTTACTGATAGGAATCGTTGCCACTATTTCCCAAGGTGCTGGGCACGAAGGAGGAGCTTCGCCTCCGGTTCGGGGACGACGACAAAAACTCCAAGGAGCCGAAGATCGGATATGCCAGCGTCACTTTGTCTTGGTAAGCTTGGGGCTGAAAGCAAGAAGAGGGAAAGGCACATCATAGCATGATCTTGCTCCAGGTCATTTCTGCCAAGCAGAAACAAAGACGACACCAGTCTTCAGTCGAGAACAACCGCATACAACACAAGCCACTTCTTTCTCATGCCTTCATGCATGAACCAGCCGTTCCTTCCCTGCCATGCCGCTTCTCTTCACCAAGCAGACTGTTTGTATAAGGCACCGAAGTCGTCAGGCACTAAGAGATCCCTCATCTGGGAAGCCCCCAACGTGCAAGGCCTTCAAGCCGATCCCCCCCCCTCCCCCCCCGACCCCGAAACCCAGAACCCGGGACCCGGGACGGAACAGGGGCCCGGGCCCCCTTCGTGCAAGAAAAACGATATCCCCTTGCAATTCAGTACTCGGAAGCCTTTCTTCATCTTTGGCCAAGGATGTTGTGATGTATATGGCAGACAACATGCAGCAGTTCAAGGAGAAGCTGTCATACGCATGCAAGGCCGGACCTCATGCAGGGAAAACCCAGAGCCATTCTGAAATGACTTGTGTTCAGTGTTCATGTTGTGGGGTATCTGAACACAAGGAGTCTTTGGATTGCGGGGCACCCAAACCAGCGGAAAGAGGAAAGTCTCCCGGACAAGCTTGCCGTGAGCAGGGCACCTCCTTTTTTGACTTTATTTCTTGTTGCAGAAGTATTCAATGTCAGTCTCTGATATTCGACGTGGTCGTCGTTCTGGAATAGGCCTTCCAGATGTGTGCAATCCTTAGTCGCCTCAGTCCCGTCACATACGCCATCCTCACCCGCCGCAACAGTCGAAGCCCGGCAACCTGGGGTTGCTGCCACCTCGGTGACCACCAACTGGCTAAGAGCGATATCTCTACGGGCGCAGGCGTCGTTTAGTTGAGAGGTCGATCAGCCGACAACTCCTCATGCTCCAGTTCTCCTAGGACCCCAGACTTCTTCTGAATTCCAGAGCTCAGACTCGGGCTGTCTAGTAGAGATTGTCTCCTGGCTCGTGGTCCGAGGTGCTGGCAAAACAGCTCCTAGAACAGGAGAGGCAAGAGAAGCAAAAGGACCCGAACGCAGACAAGAAGCAGGCAGGGTGCAAAACAGCTTGTACCATGTCTCCACACCTACATCGATGTTTGTGTCGATACGTATATCTAATAACTTTTCTTATATCTATGTCTAATATCGAATCTAATATCTGTTATCTGTTACTCGTACATCTAGTACTACCTAGTATCCAATAGTGAATATCTAAAAACGAAACCTAACATCTAATATCTAATGCCAATATTTTTTTCAGCTAGTTCCGCAAACCTAATACCTAAAACTATTTGTTATTTAGCGTTGTTTATTCTGTATTTGTATTATCTAATATCTAGCATCCAACATGTACATTTACATCTATACAAATAGCTAACATCAAACATGCAACATTTACCACCCAACATGAGCAAGAAGGAAATCGAGAGAGAGAGAGAGAGAGTGTCCCTCCACGCCCCGCCACAACGGTCGGGGGCGCTACAAGCGCGCGGGTGAGAGGGGCAACCCTCGAGCCCGGAGCCCTGGCGAAAGAAAGAGAGCGAGGGCTTCACTTCCCAAAACCGATCAATAAGATCGGGTGGGCAAATTTGCCCGGGGACGTTGACCCGTCCCCATGCCCGGGAGAGAGAGAGAGAGAGAGAGAGAGGCAGAGGGCAACCTCTGCCCACAGCCCTGGCGAAAGAAAGAGAGAGAGAGAGAGCCAGAGAGGGTTCTCGTCTTTGACCTGCAGCAAGCAAGCAAGAGACAGAGAGCAAGTTTGCCTAAAATGCGACAGGTTGTACCACCCGGAAATGAAAGATCTGTGACAAATCATTTCACACTTGTTGATTTTCGCTACATTCGGCCTTTGTGGATGCAGCAGCCTCAGAACATTGCAATCCGTTATAAGCTTGGCATGCCAGTACATTGTGCTCTATCGTTGCTACTAGCTCGAACTCTATTATGATTGTCGCCTTCACGTTTCTGCTGATGATGACGCTTCTTACTGCCGTCGCTGGTCACCACCATGGTTCTGTGTACTAATACTTCTGTTTCCATCATGTCCACACAGTACACTTGGAGGCGTACAAAACGAGGCGGAAGCATGTGAATCAGCTGGAAGCCGCTGCTAGGGACATGCCTCTCGCCAGCACCTGGAGAACCTTGTTGTTTGGTGTTCCGGCGAGAGCCGAATGTGATGTGCTCGGAGCTGGCGTAATCCTCTCCAGGTCCTACAGGCACAGCTGCATGGTCTTCGTGCCTACAAAGAGGCTGCGAGAGCTTGCGCAGCGCGGCAGGGAAGGTTGGACGAGCTATGAATACAAGAGGCTCTACGCTGTGGAGGAGCAGGATCCTTCATCATGGCAGCCCCTTGACAACGTCTGCACCTTCAGCCACTATGCCAGCCTGTACAGCTTCGGCCGCACCAACGCGCAGCGTTTGAAAGTGGCAGACAGCCAAGACATTGCGCGGCTCAACAACAATCGATACCGTCTCTATGAGAAACAGCAGAAGCAGTACTTGGAGAGCCTGGCAGACACGAACACTGCCGAAAAGTGTCACGTCTGAACATCCCGTTACGGTTTTTCACTTTATATACACTGGTTCCGAAAGTTAAGGGTCTGGGGTGATTCCAGGGTTTACAATCGAGAGCAGCGGCAAAGCAATAGCTGCTGCAAAATGTGGAAAGGAGCGGTACTGGGAGTCATAATTGCGGGTGGGCTTGCTTGTAATGCTACAAAGGCAATCGTGGGAGCAATGGTAGTGCTCGTTGGTAGATTCTAGATCACTCGCAAGAGCCAGGGTTTGTGTTGGATCATGTAGTAATGTAGTGATGGTCGTCCAAGTCGATGCGACATCACCAATGGCAACCAGCGTGCGGTTCGAGACATTTCTGACAAAACCGTAACGAAAGAGCAACTAGACCTACGTCATTTAGGGATATCTTGAAATACAGCAGATTGTTAAGCGAATGCAAGGCATCCATATCGTCACGGTAGTCTCATCTCTTCCAAAACTTCAACACCTCCTGATGGATGGCGGTGGGTAGATTCAGGGGCCCCCCCAAAACGAAAAAATCCACAAGCCGACTCCCAGAAACCTCCATGTCTGTTGAAGCGCCATCTCGCGAGGTGCTTCGGTTTTGCCAAGTTCCACCATCCCTCCGAGATTTGTCCGCAACTGAGGGCCTAAAGATCAAAAGGGGTCCTGCGGACTGAAGGCCTTCATTGTATTCCGTTGTATCATGAAGTGGTGCAACTCCACACGGAAAGCCAGCCACCAGGGTGCTGAAGCCTTGACTTCCATGTTGCCACGTCTTCCGGGTCCTGCCATCGTGCACACACACACACACACCATTTCAGCTATGCGCACTCGCTTGGGGAGGAGAGGAATATCAGTTGTTCCGAATCTGCTAAGCCGGGAAATCGAGCTCACTCTGTGTTGCAATCCCCCACAGGTTGTGGCACAACGAACTGCCGAAGTTAGCAGATCGTATTTAGATTCTAATTTTTTCGCAGGTGCGCTGCCTCCACTTCTGGTCTGTAAATGCGGTCTCTCTAGCTTGCTCGTTGTTGTTCGCAATAATGTTTGGTGGCAGAGCAGGTGGCGAGAACAGTGGCTGCCGCTGACAAGATAGCACATGCGACATACGATCTGCCTGAAACTGTTGTCGTGATGCACGGCAAGACAACCCCGAACCGCAGCGCTGAACCCTCAATCCTGAGTGCGACGTCCCTCAACCCAAAGTTGAAGTCCTCAATCCCGAATCGCTCAAAGCAGAAACTCTAAAGCCGACTCTCTCTCTCTCTCTGTTTTTGTGACGCCGCAGCTCAGCAGCAAGGAGTCCCCAAAAGGAGTATTGAAACTCCAGAACGCTGCTGCAAGGATGTCTCCTCCGAAGAGTGGCGGCCCGCCTTGATCGACCGCTCTGAGACCGTCGCCACCAGCAAGCGGAAGTACAAGGTCTCCTACGTGACGCGCCCGCGAAGAGAAGCTTAAGGGTTGTCAGAGTTGTCAGGGGTTTTAGGGTAAAGGGCTGGGTGAGGTTGAGGGAAGTTTGGGGTTTTGGGCTTGGCTTAGGAGTTGTTGAAATGTCCAGTTTGCACGGCTTCCAGGCTCCGAGTGGTTCGAGCTACTGGAAGCTTTGTTGCGTTAGGGGTGTTAATGTGCTTTTAGAAGTCTCGGCTTTGGATGTTTGCGCCTGAGGTCTTCTCTCCCTACGTCGCTGTGTCGGCAGAGTCCAGGGAGCAGGACCTCCTGGTGCTTCAGCCTGGGAGTTGTTTCTGCAACCACAGGATTTTCACCACCACCACCACCACCGCCGCCACCACCACCACCACCACCACCACCACGCAGAATAAGCGCTACGAATAAGAATATCCGTGTCAATAAATGCAAGAAAGAACCGGAACAGGGATATAACAGTAGCTGAAAGGCTCAGGCTCACCAGCTTTCACTACAGTCAGGATCATTAAGACATTGAGGGCCTTGTTGCTCAGACATCGAAGTGCGGTTTATGCATTATGTCACATTTTGCTTTCGGCTTTTGTGTTTGTTCCTTCTTGTATGACAGGGGTAGATCTCGCTCGGTGGTTAGGCTTTTGAGATATGCTTCTTTGGCGTTGACACAAACAATGCAGACTTGGAGAATGTCATGTCATACACCATGATGCCACGGTGCAAGACCATCAATGTGCTGCAAAGGCACTGGGAGCTCACTCGTAGCCTTCTACAGCATTGTCAATGGCAGTCTTTACTGTTACACTAGAGTATACTTGACTAGAGTAGCAATGGCAGTTGTCTAGTCTAGACTAGTATAGTACAGTATAACATGCTCAGGGTGAGCTTGTGCGGGCACTCCAAGGATTCTCAGACGATTCTCTGGGCACTTCGAGGTATTCTCAAGCGATTGCGTGGCAAAAACGACCACGCCACTTCAAGAATCACCACCTACAAGACCAACAGCAGACACAGCTAAAGCAGTACGCAGGAACAACAAGAACCACCGCAGTGACGAGCAACAGCCGAATACTAGCCTGGAGCGTTGACCAAGTGGACACAGCTCCATGAATACGATGCTCCTGTCGGGCACCATCTTCTGAAAGAGCAGCAGCAACACTAAAGACCAATGACAACGACAACAAGGAAGAGCAAGATCAACAACATGGACGCCGAGGTTAACGGGATATGCCACACAGATTTCCGAGTCCACCATAGCAAGACCAAGAGCGGGGTAGGCGAAGAAACAGCAGCGAGCAAGGACACACGCGCACGCACACAGAGTAGAAGCCACGATGACAGAACATGACAGAACCGATAGTGCCTGACACTACTTGGTAGAGTTTTATGACTCACGCTATGACAGCTGCTGTTCTCGGTGCACACATCTTCTTTTGCCGTCACAACGTTTCATTGATCAGTCACACCTTCTTTTTGAAAGACCGTGCAAGCCTCAACCATCATGTGGCTTCCTTGTGTTTTCATATCTTCTTTTCGAAAGATCGTCCAAGCCTCAAGATGCGTAAGTTGGCCCCTCAAAACCGAGACAGTGACCCGGGCAAGCACTTCAGCGAAGTCCATGTTGCTTGTCCGAGCACCCGCCCCCCAGCATGACGACCAACAACTCCAGAATTACTACAGCGGCACCGGCTGCCAGCCCGATGATCCTTGGGTTGGGTGGAATTTGCCCATGTCAAAAATCAGAGGTTGGAACCGTTACTCAGGTGCGGTGCTTGCCTCTCCAGTCATCTGTTGCTGTACATGCCGGTTGGGCACTAGCACAAGCCCAGACTGCTGGCCAGTCGTCTAGCTATGACTATTGTTGACCAGCCTCCCTCCCTCTGGCTCTCTCTCTCTCTCTCTCTCTCTCTCTCTCTCTCTCTTGCTTGCTCTCGCGTCCGGGTGCTCGCAAAGAGCCCGCAAAGAGCACCACAGCTGGGGGAGTTGGGAAGGGAAGCTGGCTTGGAGACGCCCAGACACCCCTTCGGACCACGGCTCAGTGGTTCGTCCCGCGAAGGCTAGTCCTGGGCTCGGTGGGCCGCTCGGAAGATTGAGATGGAGATGAGACAAGGAAGACCCATCCGCTCCTTCGGCGACCGCAGCTCTCAAAACCCTTGCCGAATCGCCCAGCAGACGGTCGCAAAACAAGATAGGAAGCGCGATCGTGCGCCATGCACATTTGCGCCAGCAGCTTCGAGCATGGTAGTGAACAAGGGCTCGAAGATGATGTTTCGCGATGTCGAGACTTGAGAGTCTGGACCCTCAGTGCCATAAGGCTTTGTAAACTGGCTACACACGTCTGTGAGCCTTGCTTGAACTAAAGCCTTCCCTTGAGAACCTTTCCGTAAGCGCAGTGGCAGAAGCTGAAGTAGTCCTGTGGGCACCACGGAGCGTACGAACATGCGTCCCACCCACAATTAATTAGCCTGCACGCCCCAAAGCCCCTTGAGCCACCAACGCCTTGTGGAACGCATTAAATTGGAACTTGTCATCTGGCGGCCAAACTTACCCCTTACATCCCCTTACATTTAACCGCCAGGAGGAGGTCGACGAAGAGTGTGTCCTTCTGGCCCCAAGCATCTGTGGCCGAAGAACACTGTTACGCCGAATGTCCTCAGCTCCTTAGGGTTGTAGATGTTGAGGGTCGCACGGTGCGAAGTCGGTTTTCAGTGCCACTGCTTGGCAAAGGCACGCATTGCCGGTTAGGTTTTGATTCTGGTGAGTTACATCTGGTGGATGAGGCCGCAACCCCAACGAGACGCTCAGGTCATAGAAACCTCAAGCTCCCCCCGCTTTCAGTCTTTGGACCCTTGACTCCTGCCAAACCCAAGCACTCGAGCGGCAAGTTTAGGCCCAAAGTTTAGTCTTCAGGGTGCAGAGTTTGACGATTCCCAGGCAAGCCAAAGATCCGGGACGTGGTGCACGTTGAGCACAAGGAGCTGCTTGCCCGGGCCAAACTCATGAAGGACCTGGCGTTGCACGAAACACATGACTGTAAAAGCCGTGTGGAAGCGTCTAGAGCTAAATTACACGCACAGCCTATTGCATTTTTCTGCAAAAATAGGTCTGTGTTGCGTTTTGTTTTTTGACAGACTCGTGGACACATGTGTTTACGGGTCTGCATGCCGGTGTTTCTGCCACCACATATGTCACAGAGGCCTTCGGACGCATGTTGTGCCTGTCATGTGTGAAGCATACCCGTTTATCCCTTTCAAGCGCAGTGGGCATAGCCGCACAGTGCATATGCATGCAGTCGTGTTGTGTGCCAAGCTTGGTGTATTGCCTCTCACTCAGAGTAACTGTGTAGCATCATTCTGCGCACCATGATTTCACTCATCCTTTATCGCAGCTAGTATCATGTAATATCATGTAGCATGCAAGTCTTTACACACTTATGCGTGCGGAATTGAGGAACTGTAAGCAAAGAGCCGTACGTCAATCTGGACGAAAGCAATATATTTCAAGCCAAGCGTGTGCACATGCATTTGGATGTATCTAGTTGCATGTCTGACACATGCATTATGCATTCTTCCGTGTGATTCCGAGTGTACATACGTACGCACACACTCGCACATACATGCACACGATTGTAAGATATGGAGCACAGGTTTGTGATAGTTTCTGCATGTCATTTTATGTTCAATTTTGATTTGGCCAAGGCTTGGCGGTATGCAAGTGTACACGGCAACTCTCCAAAACCTCTCAAGGCTGAACCTCGTGCAGGGCATGGTCTTATGCATTTTATGAGGGGGACACTTTCAGGGTTTATAAGGTTGCAGCTGTGAGAGTCTGTCGCAGAGTTCCAAGTTTCGGGGGGGGCAGGGGTAGTAGGCTTGACGTGCTAAGATCTTATGTGGGAACTTGTGCAGGACCAGGGTGTGCCGGAGGAGGAGATTGTGAGACAACTGAGCCATGGATTTTCTCAGACTGTGCTGAGCAACAGCACCAGAGCCCTGAATCCCAAATCCGAGCTGGCCAGATGCCATGTGTAGCTCAGGAATGCGGACCTGAAGAAGAGTTTCGAAAAGGCCAAGGAAGCCAATGAGGATGGGGCTGCCATGACCGCGCCTCCTATGATCTCTTTGGCGGATGTGCAAGATGCCCTTAAGCGAGCAAAGGACCCGGCTTGGGCTTTGCAGTTTGGGCTTCGGGAGGAGGGTGGGCCATCGTATGGTGCCTTCATTTTGGTGACCCTTGTTTGACATCCGACAGCGTTTCTGTTTATTTCCTTTTCGGATCTTCCGCTATTGGCCGTGTCTTGCTTCGAGAAACGCACGGTGAAGATTGGGGTTCCGGACTTGCAAAGAGTCATGTGCCTGCCGATAAATCCTGCCGAGTGCTCGTGTGCAAACAGGCCTGCATCCTTCGTGAGATCGGCCGTAGAAGCCAAGAGGTTTGACGGCAAAACGTCAGCTATGCTAAAGCACTACGGCCGCTGAATCCTCAGCTATGCTTCTACTCCTTTTCACTTTGCCGACCGTCCTGTGAGACCTTGCCTGGCTTTCTGCCCTGGCTCCTCTGACTCAGCCACCATGGCATTCCAAGGCAGGATTGCTTAGTGGAAAGGGCTCCTCAAAAAAGTGTGAAACCTGAACTAACACTCTACAAAGCCTTAACTTGTAGTGGCCGAGCCTGTGAAGACACTGTCCTGCTTGGACTTGTCTCTCGAGGAGTCTCACAACACTTGGAAAGTTTCGGCCACACCCCTGAACCTTTCCTTGCTTCAACCCGAAACCCTCAAGCCGCAATGAAGCCGCCCAGTCGACCCTACCCCCACCAACGCCTGAGAAAAGCGGAGGAGGACGAAGCGGACGCCACCTTGGATGGCGGTCAGTGAGACACTCTGATGGGCTTCAGAGTCTGGCGTGTCTGTAGGCAGAAGCCCGGCACCTTAAAGCTCCGAAACGTGGCGCTTCTCAGAAAGGAACTCCTTGGAACTCCAGACCGGCAAACGGAAAACATCGCCTGCTCCCCTGGCCCTGGCTCGTGTGGTTGTAGTTCAGCCAGGAAAGGGCAAGACGCACGAGTTCGTTCCAAATGCCTCGAGACGGCTGCGATCGATGCTTGATCCCAGTCCTTGACTCAAAAACAGACCCTCCCAAAGTCGAAACTGAACTCGGCAAACCATCCAAAGCACCTGAAGCGGCCTGGAGCCGGATCCTTAACCAAGGACTGTCCACGGACACGCCCAAATTCAAAGGGAAAGACAAAAAGCGTCTACATGGCCGCCGGGCTGCAAAGGTGCATCTCGTCGGCATCGTGCAGTAAGCATATTGGTACACCCCAAACTGCCGGTTGCTTCCAGTTTCGGAATCCTGGCACGTCCCAGGATGAAGGCAAGATTTCAAGTTTCCTTCGTGCCCAGGCTGCTCCGTGAGTGGTTCCAGACCTGAGCAAAGCCTGCATGCACCCAGGACGTTCTGACAGGACATGGGACAGTCAGACTGCATGAAAGCGTGTCAATCAGGTGAGTAAGCCATTTGATCAAGCATAAGTACATGCTTGGCCTCGATGCTTCCACAAAGTATCCGTTTCCATCTAGATACAACGAACGCCATCGACGATCATGGAGAGCACTTGAGTCTGACCTGTACGGATTTCGATGATGTTTTTTTGCTCCCCGAGGCAGACTGCATCGAGCTGTCTGGGGGCAGTTTCAGACAAGGGGTCTGATGGGCCAACCCACAGCAAGTCCTTGCCCCAAAAGCGTACAGAGGACACATCTTTTGAGTTGTTCGTGCCTGTCCGAAAGTAGGCCAGGCGAGTTTTCGATTAAGGGCGGGGATGGTTTGAGAGGGGAAATACGCATGTCGACACGTTTCTTTAGCAAGCTTAGACCCGTTGGCTTGAAGGCAGCGGTGCATTCATGAGCATGAGTATGATTTTGCAACAGCTGGCCCGCATTTTCTTCAATTGTATATCTTTCTGGCACTCTTGTTCGAAGAGTAGCAAGGTGCCTCCAAAATTAGTGCACCATGCATCCAGTTTCACTCATCCTGACATCGGACCACTGCACTGACCGCCACAAAACGCGACAAAGAGAACCAGGTTTGAGTTCGAGCGTCTTGTTGACAGGAGGTCATGATCACGATTAAGTCCTGTGAACAGCCTCAGCTGTGAGGGATCGGACGTTGAGAGCCCCAGATGTCAGAAACAATCCACAAGTCTTGTGCGAGATGTGGGCTCAGACACGTGGGAGTTTGGACCCCGCAGTATCTGGAGCTTCACCCTAGATCAGGCCGGCCTTTTGATTGAACAGTGTAACAGCAGCAACTACAACTGCTGCTTCTCTTACTCCTCCTACTGCTGCTCTGCTGCTGTTCCTCATACATCCACGACTACTGCTCCTCCGGCTGCTGCTGCTGCTGCTGCTGCTGCTATGGCTGCTGCTGCTATGACTGCTACTGCTACTACTACTACTACTACTACTAGTACTACTATTACTACTGCTATTGCTACCGCTACTGCCACTGCTATGACTACTACTACTACTACTACTACTACTACTACCACTACTACTACCACCACTACTACTACCACTACTATGAATACTGCGTGAGGGCTTGGTATACACTTTGCTGTAT